GTAGTAAGGACACTGGATTCCCTAGCCAGGGGGAAAATACGATCTATATATTCCCTAGCCAGGGGGAAAATACGATCTATATATTCCCTAGCCAGGGGGAAAATACGATCTATATATTCCCTAGCCAGGGGGAAAATACGATCTATATATTCCCTAGCCAGGGGGAAAATACGATCTATATATTCCCTAGCCAGGGGGAAAATACGATCTATATATTCCCTAGCCAGGGGGAAAATACGATCTATATATTCCCTAGCCAGGGGGAAAATACGATCTATATATTCCCTAGCCAGGGGGAAAATACGATCTATATATTCCCTAGCCAGGGGGAAAATACGATCTATATATTCCCTAGCCAGGGGGAAAATACGATCTATATATTCCCTAGCCAGGGGGAAAATACGATCTATATATTCCCTAGCCAGGGGGAAAATACGATCTATATATTCCCTAGCCAGGGGGAAAATACGATCTATATATTCCCTAGCCAGGGGGAAAATACGATCTATATATTCCCTAGCCAGGGGGAAAATACGATCTATATATTCCCTAGCCAGGGGGAAAATACGATCTATATATTCCCTAGCCAGGGGGAAAATACGATCTATATATTCCCTAGCCAGGGGGAAAATACGATCTATATATTCCCTAGCCAGGGGGAAAATACGATCTATATATTCCCTAGCCAGGGGGAAAATACGATCTATATATTCCCTAGCCAGGGGGAAAATACGATCTATATATTCCCTAGCCAGGGGGAAAATACGATCTATATATTCCCTAGCCAGGGAAAGCAAAAAAAAAAAAAAAAAAAAAAAAACTTCTGGTCTTCCGTCTATGGTCAGAAGTGCTTGGTTTCTAATCACTTTTTTTTGCATTTGGGGCACTTGTTGAGTTCAAATTTCAGGCTTTGATTGAGAATAATGTCTATTTGTCCTCTATATCCACAATATGGCTTTAAAAATTACCCGAAGTCGACGCAGCACTTGAACTGAAACAAATTCACCGGCGTTTCTCAGCGAATGGGCAGTGGGACGGCCTGTCAAATCTCCCGGTGAAAGGTTATTGTACAGAATGGCGAAAATAATTACCAAAAGACGTAAGAGAAGTATAATAAAACTAGAAGAATGCATTACATACATGAATTTGGAGAAACAAACGCTAGTAATCAGGGCCGGATCCAGGGGGGGGGGGCGTACACCCCCCCTATTTTTGGCAGAGTAAGACCAGGAATTTTTTACACATCATCGGGGGAAAGACGTGGGATATAGGTACGAAAAGTCCCAGTCAGCAATAGAAGGGATAATTGATAGAAACTTTCTATCCCGCTTAGGCTTCGTGGCTTCGGCACTCACAATCGTCTCGGGTAGGGGTTACGCCCCCACTTTCTATCCGGCCCTGAGTAATGACAAAATAAGTGTTCTCACAAGTAGTAATGAGTTATGCGTCATATTTGTTTAGATCCTCGCGAGGTAAACATTGAAGGGGACCTAGAAAATGAAGGGTCGATCTTCTCTCTTCTCTGTCCTGTATCTCCCTTATTTTAGATTCCCACTCCTTTAGCCATAGATGGAAAGTGTCTTAGTTTTCGTCAAGGTAACCACTCCATACACTTATTTTACTGAACTCTTGGTTGACATGTATGGAAAGTTTTCCAAAAGGAGGGCATACAGTTCTGTAGTAAGGACACTGGATTCAGGAGGGAGGGGGTATTTGAAATCAGAAATCAGACCCGGAGGTGGATTTGGAGCCATCAGTGTAAACATGTATACCGGAGGAGTGAATGGAAACACGGTCAAGGAAATGAGTGAGAAGGACAGCGGGAGAGGATATCTGATTTTGGTGGGTCAGGGAAAACAAGAGCAAATGTGAAACTCTACTCTGGCCATGAATGGACAGAAAGCGGAAGGGGTCAGAGGTGGGGAAAAAGGGAAAGGATAGAGAATGGTAACCATGCGAATAGAGAAAGGAGTAGGTAAACATGGAGAAGAAGCAAACGTAGGAAGAAGGGATCGTGGGATAGTTAGTTTGGTGAGGGAAAGTTGGTGGGCAGGCTCTCAACTGGAGAGGAGCGGGAGGCGCCTAGGGCTAAGTGAAGACCGCAGTGGTGGATTGTATCAAGATGGGCAAGGAGAGAAGTTGAGGCAGAGGAGTAGATATGGCATCCTTAATCGAGAGTGGAGAGGATCAAGGTAACATGAAGATGAAGGAGAGTTTTGCGACCTGAGCCCCAGGATATATGGGATAGAGTTTGCAAGATTCGGAGACGGCGGCGACCTTTTCTTTAATGTAGAAGATATGGTCTCGCCAAGGAATTTGCCAGAGGAATGGGATTGGAGTAGAGTGCCATAAAAGAAGAGTGGAGGTTGGGGACTTACACGTGTGCCAGAGAAAAGGATGGGGAAAACAGAAGCCATGGTTAGTGGCACAGGAAGATACTGATCATATTGCAGACTGAAGGAATTGGCGGAGATTTGGTATGGATGTGCCATAGCGATGGTTCAATCATCAATATATCATGATGATCAGGTTCCTGGTGGTAGAACTGAGACAATGTCAGTGGTGCTGAGAACGCTGCCTTGTGGGACGCCTTCGAACTGAGGAAAGGATGATGTGGAAGAGGCAATTTTGAAGTGAAAGTGCGTTTGGAGAGGAAAGACTTTATAGAGACATCCATGATTCCGAGGATAGAATGACGATAATGGGGTTCCTTCCTTGATGGTCTTAATGGAGGAGACGTGTGGAGAAAGGTTAGAGCCACTACTGACCTGGCTGAAATAGTCACCCAGTTCATTAGCGACTTGGAGAAGATCAGAGATGAGGGTATCTCGAATATGAAGGACGGGGGATGGATGGGGGATGTCTGCCCGATAGTTTATAGATCCGGCGCCAAGCAATTGAAATAGATGTAGAAGATGTAAGTAATTAAGGAAACATGATTTCGCCAGCCAGGAGATAAGGGCTGATAGTTGATAAGGGGTGCCTCTTTTGTAGCGGTAACTGTTCTAGGCTGCACTTTAAGTGAAGCGCTTTGGCCCAATCAAAATTCCACCATGGAACACATTAGGAGGTATAAGATCTTGAGGTTCGAGGAATGACTATATAGGCAGCTCTCAGGACTGTAGTTGTGAAATATTGTATTATATATGCAGTGGACGAGAAGAGGGATGGAGGGGTAGGAATAGCAGAGAGTGAAGTGAAAGTACGCCAGTCAGCTCTATCAACGCACCAGCGTGGTGGGGTTAGGAAGTGGTACATATGAAGTAGGAGAAAGGAGTGCTGGAAAGTGGTCACTATAGGGACAGTGGTCTAGAACTGACCAATGGAAATCTAAATGGAGAGAAAGGGAAGCACAAAGAGAGGTCAGTGCATGAAAAAGATTTGGTGCGTATGTCAAAGTGTGTGGGGCGATCTGAATTTAGAATAATAAGGTCAGTTATGGAGAGGAAGCGTTCTAGGGATCGGCCACAGGGGTTGGTGATAGAATTGCCCCAAAGCGTGGCAGCATTTAAAATTTTCAGCTACGTGGAAAAGTGACTGGGGAGAAGTAAACTGAAATAACTGTGACCCAACGGCGAAGATGCGAATGACTGTGCACGGGACAGGTATGACATGTGGTGCTTTCTAATGGATAAGTATGGATGAAACATTAAGGGAGTGTGAAAAGGAGACAGAATGGTAATTGGGGATTGGTATAAGAGGATGTGTAAGAAAAGTCTCTTGAAGGCATATAATGGATGGGTTATAAGAGGAAAGGATATGACGAAGGTCGGGTCTGTGAGAACGGAAAACGCAAATATTCCAATATAAAAGAGCTTTACTGTAGTTGATCTGAGTGATAACGGTTACAGTGTGTGTTGGAGAATTTGAAGGGGAAGGAAGTAGGGGGTGAGATAAGGAATGAGAGGGTGAAGGTGGTGTTGCATCATGTGGAAGATCTGGGGAAGGGCATAGTTGTGACATAAGAGATTCACGTGTGTATCCAGGAGGATTCACGTGTGTATCCAGGAGGAATGGGCTGTGTTGGGAGGGAATAGGAGGAAGGGGTGAGGGGGAGTATGAGTAGGAGGAGGATGGGTATCAGCAGTCACTTTGAGTGTGGAGGGAGCGGGAGTTGTGGAATTTGAGGGTGGATGAGGGATTTCGGTGTCAGTTTGGGACTCGAGTAGATAGTTCTGAGTATCTTCAAGAGTTTCTGCAATGGAGTTGGTTGGGGGGTTTTGTGAGACAAAGGTTTTCTTATGAGGGGGTAAGAGGAGACTGTTGTCTGAGGAGTAGAGGCAAAGGTAGGTGGAGGTGAGTGTGACTTGAGAAGAAGGAACATCTTGGGAGGAAGGGGGAGGGGCAGAGCGAGCGACATTACTGCAGTAGGGAGTAAGAGAAAAACCTGATCGACATACTTCCTGTCTGACTTCACATAAAATGAGAACCAGTCTGAATCTGAGAGTTGCTACCTCAGACTCAAATTTGTAGGTGGGGCAGCCCCTGTAAGATACATTATAGGGTCTGGCACAAGTGGCTCAGGTGCGTGACTGTGCAGAGCAGTTTGATCGGTTATGACCAGGTTGGGCACATAAAGGGCATCGGGTTGTGGAACGGCAGTGTTTGGCAGGATGTCCAAAACGCCAAAAGGAGGATGATATGGTCGGACAGGGAGGGATTCCCCACCGGTGTAAACATTTAAGGGAAGGTCATGTCTGCGGAAAATAATTGTGGCAATGTTGGTGGGAGTCTTATGATGACCTTCAGGAGGAATGGAGTAGCACTGTACTAATATCACATCATAGTCCGTGAAGCAGGTGAGCACGACTTCTCCACAATCTGACCAGTTTTTGGTGAGTTTCCTCAGGTCGTTCAGTTTAGTTGAGAAGAGGGCTGAGGCCCAAAGCAGGGGAGATCCCCAGCATTGGATCCCAGTCCTCGCCTCATAAGGCCCCCCAGGACAACAATAAGCAAGGGATTGGGGGGGGGGGGGGAAGTGCAGTAGAAAGGAAACACTATTTCATAATGGTAACACTTTATTTATAAACAATATCCATAAACATGGCATAATATACAGATGCATAAAAACTTTAAACCCTAAGTCTAAAGTTAAAATAAATATCGATAACTTTTTAATCTTCACTTTGAATCAGTCATTATGACTACAGTTACCTTATTATTTTTCATAATCAGTTACATATTTGATATGAGATTTACCTGCATTTATTATTAGGCTTCACAGTTCACCAAGACAAAACAGACAATAGAAATTATAGCGACTCTTTAATATATTCTTAAAGTCATACATATTGTAATGTGGGGTTTAAGTAGGGTTTGAATTACTGTAATTCCTAATAACTGGCAATCAAATAGCTAATTATAAAGAATTAACATACATATACATGCATACATATCATTCACTGACTCACTCACTCACTCGGATGTACTTGAATAAAATGGCAACGTGTATCTCCCATTTTCTTATTCTCCTGTTGCCAGCGGAGTAATTTTGCAGCAATAGAATTTACATACAACAACCAACTTTTTTTTTCTTAAGCAAATGATTATCTCCTGTTAAAGAAATTTGATTATGTATACAAGCCATTAGCTAATATATGAGCATTTATACAGGTAAACCTCCCAGTCTCACGCACGTACCAAAAAATACAAAAAAAGAAAAAAGAAAACATACATATATTGAATTACTAGCCATTCATGAATCACAGGCTTACAAGAAAGAGGCAAAATAGAAATCAAAATTCAGTATACACTTACGCACATAATCTACAAGAATAACATCAATAGAAATCTAATACACAATTATTCATAGTTTTTCTTGTGGTCCCAATAAAGTCCCTTTTAAGACAGTTCCCTTAACTTGCCTCATTTTTCAACAGGCCAAATTTCTGCTGAACATTCCTCTCTGCCTTTTACTTGTTTACCAGTCAATACACTAATCCATCAAATTCACATTTAACAAGGAAGGAGTATTCACCTGAACCCACAATTATGCAAATATTTTCTGGCTTATCTATATAAGCATTACTATATAGGTATAATGACGTCTCTTATTGGCAGTACGAGGTAAACCATGAGGACAGACCAGTACAACTAACCGTACAAAACATAACTGTTGGCAATACACACACACAAAAAAACACATCTGAAGAAAAATTAAAAAAAAAATTAGTAATCAAGATATACATATGGAATATTTGTAAAGAAAAAAAAGATACTATAAAACTAATCATCTAAAGGAAATTGAAGCAAAGTGAAATAAAATTAGGACGGATTTAGTTTCTCCTGCTTTCTTATTAAAGAAAAATCTCAGATATGATAGCACCTTGGTTTATCTTATCAATTACTCTTCCCCTCACAAATTAAATCTTATAATAAGAATGTATAGGACAGAAGGTAATATTAATCTACTAATAATGATTTCTTATTTTTGCTTTTTACAGTCTTTACAATATATTTACAGACTTTATAGAAACACCACATTTTTTGCAAGAAGTAATTTTATGTGTTCTACTACATAACAAACTCAGAAGCAATTTTGAACATCATACAGCGTACGTCCTGTAATTGCTTTGTAAGTGGCACAAGAACTGTCTACAATTCAGCAAAAATAATGAGGAAAAAATAGTGATGATTTTTTTACGTTAAATCTATTTTGATAAAGTTAACACCAAACATACACTGACATACAAGATGACAAGTATATACTGTGTATATATACACACATACATACATAAGTACATATATAACACTGTATACATATAATACTGTATACATATATATGACTGAAGTCTGATAAAAAACCCATAAAGTTTGGAATAGTTAAGATAAATTACTATAAAAATATAGTTTTCTGTACACACTCTCACGGAGACTCCTTCCGATAAACGCCTCCTCAAGGTCTGTTTTTTGCCAGAGTCAGGTCACTTCCATACTTTGTACAGGCTGCAAGGGAATGCAGCCCATACACCTCCTGTCACATACTCGACTCGGCTATTCCTTCGTCATCTGTGTAAAGAGATCAAAGCTTAACATGTGCAACGCGTAAAGGATGTGTAGGACTTTATCTGATAAACCAGTTGAATTAGAGTAAGGTGTCTCTTCAAACTCAAACTCCTAGTATGTAAGATGATGAAACAGTAAATCAAAGGAATTTTGATCAATAGCAGACTTTAAAAGGGTATAAACAGAATTAGCCTGATAGTCCAACTGTAGGAACCACTCTGCTACTCAACAACAGGGTTTGTCGTTAATCAATCCTGAAGGACATTTCAACAAATCATGCACTCATTATATCATAGCTAACATGTATACGCATTTATGAAGCTACATTTCTCAACTATCAAAAAATGATGGAGTGAATGACAAAAAATAAAAATACAAAAAAGTCAAAAACAAAGATTAAAAACTAATGGAGTTGTTAATCATAAGAGCTCTTTATGTAAAACTGTTAACACTACAAACACATACATGGATACATTTTGAAAATGTGTCTATTTCAGCAAAACTTTATCCTAATACATACAACATATTATGCAAAGCTATTCCTTTTTTTTTGCAAATAAATTCTGTGAGCATCCTCTGCATATTATAAATTTAGAGGAGGGTGTTACAAAAAAAAAAAAATCCTTTGCTACTTCTGCTTCTAGTTTTTTTTTCAATTCTATTGTACATGAAAATTTAGGACTATGCTAGTTACTGCTTTATTCAGCTTTACAAATCTGTTTACTTACATTATGCATTTACAAATCTCCAACATAAAAAAACACCATACTGTACTTGATCTTTCAATCACTCTCCCTCACACACACACATGCATATGCACATGCACACATATAGAAACAAACACGCACACACAAATGTGCATGCATGGACACACACACACACACACTCACAAATTCTCTCACACAGACAGAATCTCTTTCTCTCTCTCTCTCTCTCTCTCTCTCTCTCTCTCTCTCTCTCTCTCTCTCTCTCTCTCTCTCTCTCTCTCTCTCTCTCTCTCTCTCTCTCTCTCTCTCTTTTCCAAGAGATGATTCAGTTAAACCTCATCCTCTGAGCAGCGTCACATGCTCAGCAAGACCTTTTCAACTGAGTGACACATTGGTTTTATGCACTCACTGGATCATGGTTATTACAATAGCAAGTATTTCCTATGTTATTCTGTTTTTTCCTTTATCAAGTACCAGCTATAAAATGGCTCTCTCAAGGGCAGCTAATAAAGCAGTGCATAAGTTTATTACAGCAAGGATCCTTGGATACCAAAGCAATTTCCTATTGCAAGTGTCCTTTGGATGTTGAAAGTGCATTCCTCCATTCTTATGGAATTTTGTGAGAATACAGTATCTGCACAAAGGACTTAAAATTCATTCCTTATTACATTTCAGAGCAGATGCAAGAATGGCTGTAAGTTATGCAGCTGCAAATACATTTAAACTTTTTTCAGAATGAAGGTTCATATTGGAAAATCTATTACGTGCAACACAGTATTAACCAGAGTAAAGTATCTGTGTATGTTTGATCATTAAACAAATTCAGCAAATTGGTGTCTACATTCAAGTGTGTTTTGTGTATGCTGTATTGTCTACGTGGAAGGAGTGACAATTGTAAAAAAAAAATATTGTTAAACTTTAAACTCTTTGTCAATACATAATGCTTGCCGATCTTCAGTATAATAGCATTTACAAAGTATAAGAAAAAAACAACTGCATTTTCAACATAGCCTTGCATGGTGATATTTCTTATGCGTTTAAAAATATTTTGTGGGGTAAGTTTTTATAGCTGAGTCTATTTAAATATTTTACAAGGCCCTTATTCTGCAAAACAAATTCTGCATCTAGGGACTAACTCAAGGTACAAGCACATGACCTAACAGAGCTATTAGTTGACTACAAAGGTTCACAACAAGCATTAATTACCAGAATTATATGGTCAACATATGCATGCAAATATCCATCTATTACCAAAGTGAACACAAAGTTCTAAGAGACAGCTGCCCAATAACCATAGAAATCAGTGGCTGAGGCAAAGGCAATCATCTTTGCTTCGGGGAAATGCCTGACCCCAATATCCCATTCAGTCCTAGGCCAGTAAGAGAATTCCATTAACGAAAAAAGTACTATTGAACTTTTAATTACTATTATTATATGCACTGATGAACTTGTACTAAATCTAATGCTTAACATCAATGTTACGTGAGCTTTCAAATTCTGTTAATAGTAATAGTCAAGATTAAAAACAATGTGATAGACACGTATGCATCCACATATATCAAACAAGGTCAGACGCTTCTGGAACGTGAAACTTACCTTCGTAACCCTGATTATCATGAATCTCACTTAAGGGATGTTCGTTTTCTGTTCCTTCCAAGACAGAGAGAAGGCACTGGTGAATACATATATACTGCCGCTCAGTTTGTACCATGGAAACTCTTTGTCGTCTCATCTCATAAACTATACCATATAGGTCCACATAGTCATTTGTTCTTATGCTGAACAGTATCCTGTCCAAAGCAATGAAAGTTCCTGATCGCCCAACACCAGCACTGAAATGGAAAAAAATGGAATTATCAAGACTTTGATAATAGCTCATTACTTTGATTATTCACTCATAATTAAATATTCAATCTATTACAAAAAAATACATATTTGTGCCTGTATAAGAACATACAACCCCATACACATAAAAAAATACCCAACCAACCTGCAATGTACGACAATTGGCCTCTGATCTGCACCAACGGTTTCCCTGAAGAAACGGACAAACCTCACTAACGTCTGCGGAGGATCGGGCACACCAAAGTCTGGCCAAGTCGTGAAGTGGAAATGGCGAATCATGCGGCAAACGTCACCCTGAAGAAGTGCATGAGTTTGGTCATCATACAACAGCAAATCAATTTATGTCATTTGTTAGGTAAGAAGAGGTTACTATTATCATTTCATTTACTTTTAATCTTTCATGTTTACTTTTTTTTACAATTATGTAAAGAAGCTATTTCAAGCCAGGCAATTTCGTTAATTTGAAATCTTATGTTCCATAATGGGCATATATGTCTACTATAACAAATACTATCTTCAGCAGCATCAAAATCATTGAACCATTAGCCATAAAGAAAGTCATTCTACATTCTATCTTGTAACTTCACTTCAATGACATCTTAAATAAGTTTTCATTTTGGTCAAATCGACGTCCTGCTGAATGGCTGGGTTTCACTGGTGTCTTGAGATGCTAAATCAGTAAAGAATGAAGTGATAATTGTACTGCTCTTTCTTTTTACATATTTGCTAATATATGTTCGGTTTTGTGTATACTTTCAGATACAATCATTGTGTTTTATGTCAAAGACTTTGTGTACAGCATATCCATGTTACACCTTGTTGAGATTCCACGTTTTCTCAAGCATTAAAGCTTTGAGAGTCAAACAGCTGCCATACCAATGGGGATTTGCCATTCTGGGCAGTCAAATGACAAAGAATTGAAAGAGAAGGTTGAACATGCCAGAGAATCTCAAAATCCTAAGTGACGGGGCCCACTTCTGGCGGGGTAATAGGTTAAAAGAGGAACGGGAGGAAAGAGAAAAGAAAAAAAGAAAACAAAAGCAGATCAACAAGACCTCTGAAAAGGCCTACCTTGCAAACCCTGAATTCTGTGAGACTCCAGTCGGGGAAATAGCGCTCGTTCAGAATCGTCACTTGAACATCTCCGTAGTAGACTGGCTGCATGTTGTAAGGCCAGTAGTGGTCACATCTCTCACGGCCCTAGTCGGGGGGGGAGAAGGTTAAAGAGATATGGAGAATGGGGAAAAATGTATATGTTGCCAAAAAATATATATATATATATATTTTTATTATTATTATTATTGTGTGTGTGTGTGTGTGTGTGTGTGTGTGTGTCCCCCTCTGGCTCTAATGTATGCATTATGATATACACATATTCAAAACCTCCTCCAAATCAGAAGAAAAAATATAAGAAACCCAAACCAATACGGTAAGCAGAGAGAACCCGAATTGGTGGCGAGCAAAACGGGAAAGAGACCACGGCTTCCCCTACCCTCTCCGTGCAGCGCGTCAGCATGACGATGGCCCGCGTGTTGCTCTCCCAGCACATGCGCCAGAAGTCGTCCCTCGTCGACGGGAGAGGGCCCTGGCTCACGATGAACTCCCGCAGCGAGTTGTAGCCCTGGGGAGATGGTGGGGGTGCTATTTCATGGCATAACAAAAAATAGGGGTAACTTTGATATTTTCATTTCTATTTTCCTCTTTATAATTTCTTTTCTTTTCATTTTGGCTCTTTTTTTATCTATATTAGTTAACAATTAAATTCTATGTCAACTTTTACACTGAAAGTACAAAAATGAAATAATATATATGTATAAAGAAAGAAAAAGAACAAAAATATAAGATGAATAAATTACTGCAATTCCTATTCATATACAAACAAAAAATATGAATATAAATAATAGTTGCTTTCATTACTTATCTTAGAGGATTACATATTTTCTTAATTCATTACAACTCTTATCTGTAACCTTTAAACTAAGTTTACAGTTGCTTTATATTAACTGGAAATTACATATTTTATGCTAAACTGCCAGCTAGAAATTAATAGCCCTGATATATCTTTGCCCTAGAAGTTTCACATTTCTTGACCTGTAATACTTTATATCATATTAAATTACTTATCATCCAGATGCTGGATCATAAA